GTGCCCCCAATAGGACTGCTGGGGAGGAAGGAAATAAAACCATATCAGGTCAAGAGCAAAGCCCACACGTTGCCCCAACAGATGGACATCCCACGGAGGAGACTTCTGCTCCAGCAGAGCCTCAGCCCTCGCCTCTCCCCTCCACCCAAGTGCCGCCAGCCTTCACCGACGAACTTTACCCGGGCAAGAGCCCACGCAGACCAGAGCCGACAAGGAAACCTCTTCCAAAGGAGGACCGCTTTCCCCAGGAATACCCCTCAGATAACAAATTCATCACCATCAACCCAGGTGAGTGACCTCTGGGAAACTGCCTCTGCCCAGCATAAGGCTGTCGAGTGATTGCATGGACCAAATGACTGATTTCCAGGAGAAGCATTCCCAGTCGTGCCCAACAGGCAGGTCAGTGCAGGGCACAGTCCACAAAATGGTTGCTGTGGGGAGGAGAGGGGAGAGGAGCATCTTTTAATTTGAGGAGAAAGATGCTTGCTACCTGTGCTTGGTACCAGAGCAACGTTAACCCCCAATGAGCTGCATGAGGAATTCTGTTTAAAAAACAAGAAAGGGGAACGTGGCAGACTGCAGCTGTGAAATTAATTTGGAGCAGCAGTCGCTGTGCCTAGCTGGTGCTTAATGGGAAGGTTGCTATGTATGTTATAAGCTAATTTAGTTTATCTGCAGGATTCTCCCTGATTTCACTTTGATATATTCTCCCAAATATGGGGTCATTGCTGGCTAATTTCTCACCACAAAACCAGCATGCTCTGATCTCGCAAGACCAGGCACCTCTTGCACTTACTGCTTGCTTTTTTTTTTTTTTTCTTCCTGTGAAGAAACTGTGGTCGGGCAGGATTCATGGGTATCCTACATTTGTCCTGTATTAGTGTTTCTCCTGCACATGTCAACGCGGCGTGTCGGTGCCAGCTGCTCGGTTTGTGCACAGTGAATATGACCTTTCGGAAGCACGCGCAGGTGTCCGGGGTGTGCAGTAAGTCCAGCAGGTCTGGGATTTGCTGCTCAGACCTATGCAAACAGATGTCTGGTGGTGTTCCCAACTTGCTGTGCAGAAAGTCCAGGCCATATGCACATGTTTCTGCCCACCAGGCACCTGCAAGGAAAACAAATCTTTTAACTACAGTGGAACAAATGGGCTACATTCATATGAATTTGTTTGCAGAAAGAGGACTGAGATTTAGAAACAGCAAGTTTGAGTGTACTATTGCAGCTTCGATAAGATAGCGTAATTCTTTTTATTTTGTTCTTTTTTTTCTTTGTCTGTTGGTATTTATTTTGCTAATCTAGAGGGTGTTTTGTCATTTTATTTTTCCAACCAAGCTCTTCCGGAGTTAAAATACTGTGGAAAAACACTAGTATTTATTTCTCCTCACATTTACTAACAGTCAAATGCAGACATTGTGCTTTCAGGTGTGGTTCAGTATCAATTTCAAAAAAAAAAACAAAGCTAAATCCAAACTTTAATAACGTTATAGACACACTGACCTGACTACTGCTGTGAATCATAACTGTTCAATAAGAGACCAGATTAACAGTGATGAAGCCAAGCAACCCACACTGCACGTTTTCCTCATTTATTTTAATACACTTGTGTTTTTCTTGCTTTTCACCTGGAAATTTTCTTCAAAGTCGGGTATTCCCACTGTATGCGGTCTGAAATGCCTGACAAGCAGCTTTCAACATGCCTCTCACCCTAGTCAGCTTCGTATCAGGAGGAAGGGAACTTGTCCTAGCTCTGCATTGCAATGTGGAGGGGAAGCATTTCAACACCATGTAAGTTCAAACCCCGACAGTTTGATCTGTCTGGGCAAACCTGCCTCTTGAATATTTTCTTCGGCTCTTCTTGCCTTCTGCTTCACTGTTTCTCATGCCCCAGTTTCGCAGATGACCCAAATTCCATGTCCCTTGTATAAGCCCTAGCAAACGGCCCTGATGGTTTATTCTCAGTTTAATGTAAATTGAAGTAAGAAAGGGTAGTTCCAGCTGCTTGGCCAGTGAATATTTTGCTATTAGATCGGTTGTTAATACCCATGTTAACGTTAACATGGGTATTAACAACCCATGTTGTTAATACTGCCCAGAAGTAGTTCCAGGCTACTCTGATTTTTTTTTCCCACACAATCAACTTTGTCTGTAGAAGTTTCAATTTTCTTTTAGCGTATAGGAAGCTATCACTGGAAGTGGTTCAATGCATCTTTACCTCCTAATAGAGAGACTCTTTAATGAGCTCTGCTCACCGGCAAGCTGCCCTCCAGCATGGAGGCTCGAAGGCTGCATGCAAAGGCAATCAGTCTTGCCTCTGCAATGAGGTTTTTTTCATACTTGCATGGAGAGATGGAGGACAACTTCGTAAGACTGCTGTGTCAAAAAACCTCAGGCTTCCATTTGTAGGAAGTGAAACCTGAAGTGCCCTGCACGTGCCTGCTGGGGGAAAACATAAGTGTGAGGGCTGCCTGCTTCACCCAAGCTGCTCTCGTTTACATCGTGGCTAAATATTTGGTGGAGCGTCCGGTATGTTAGGAAGGAACGGTAACATATTTTCAGGTTCCCAGAGAAACTCTCCCAGTTTTGTCAGGCTGTTGAGCTTGGAACCAAGGGACTGGGAGAAGATATTTAGAAAAGAGCCATTGCCCCCAGGGTAGAGTTTTATTCCCACCTGGAAGTCGAGGAGAGGAAAAGTTAGACTGTTTACAGATGTGGTGGCTCCTTGTCCGGTCAGTGTTTCAGGTCTGTCTGGGAACACTTTGAGATTTTTTCTCAGGGAAATAGGCTTCCAATCAGGATTGCTTTGCACCAAGCGTGAGGATCTTGTCCTTCCAAGTCTTTGAGGGAAATCCTTCTCCTCTTTGCATCTTTACCACTCGGGCACCTGCTTTCCCAGGAATTTGCCCAAATGCTACATTAAATCGGCCTGAGTAAGGCCTGGCAGGAGAGCTGTCCCTGTGAGAAGGGCCTGTGAATGCAGCAGAAGGAACTTTCCCCAGGGCTGGGCCTTGGCTGCTAAAGGCACCTGCCAGCAAAACCCAGGCCTGTAGCTCTGGTTGTCAGCCAAACACTAGTGTGAAGCTTAAGACTAATTCCCGCAGATTACCCTTTCCAAAGTAATGTGAAAATTCATTATTCATGCTAACAGACCAGACCAGACGTAGCTCATGCAGGTATCTGACTTCCCTGCAACCCCAGGTATAAGCAAGACCTGTGCTCCCGTGAGCAAGGGCCTTCAGCATTCTGCACTGCGAAGGGAGCCTGGAATGGGAGCAACAACTCGCCAAGCTAAGAGGCCCTTGCCAAAAGTGTCTGAAATCATTCCTGAGCATCAGGACAGATGACAGAAGGTCAAGGTTGCTTCCAAAATGAGCAGAAAGAAACTACTGCAGCTTATTATGTCCCATGGAAGGCCAAAACTTTTTTGGATGCATCATTTCTCCAGGAAGGCGTTTTTTTAAAAAGCTGTCAGTCTTTCAAAAATGTTTTTGCGAGCAGAAAGTTTAATCATTTTACAGAGTAGAAAATTGTTTCATAACAATGTACACTTGTAAAATTAATTATAGAGCATCAAATTAGCAGTTGTAAGGAGATAACTGAATGGGGAAGTACTCATGAGCGCGGATGATTAGAGGAGAACAGGGAACACATGAGGAATTATGGGGAAAGTGTGAGGCCAATTAGTACAGCAAGGCTCATTTTCTTTTACTGCTTATTTCACACGCACATACACACACCTCTCCTGAGGCCATGTCATTATTTTCCAAATGGCTTTGGCCTCTTCTTGTCTGCTAGTATCAGCCAGCACTAATGATTTTCTCCTATCACTGGGCGCTTGCTTGCATCCCCCTCTTTCATTTTCCTGCTCATCCCTTTCTCTGTTTTGTTGCCCACATTAGACTGATTGTATCTTTGATCTGCAACTGATACACACGCAGCCGCTCCGCGCTGTCCGGCCTCTGAAACCTGAAAATGAGGAAAGCTGCAGTTAGAAGGATGCTCTACAAAAAAATAAAAAGGAAGAGAAGGAAAAGGAAAAAAAAAAAAAAAAAGACATTCGATTCAGCTTCAGCAGGCTACAGCACATATTCCCCCACTGAATTATGGGTTTTTGGGCCATACAGTTAAGCAGATCCTTGGTGTTCAGTCGGGGACAATAAATGTGCTTCCCAGATACTGTTGTGAGCAAGGTAACATGTTTCTGGTTGGGACTTTTGCCCAAGTCTCGAGCTGGGAAGGTGGACAGCGGAGACGTGAGTTTGCTCTGGGCTGCTGCTGGGTTCTGCTGTCGCTCAGCGCGTATCCGCTCACGCCGACGCTCCCGTCGGTTTGTGCAGAGAGGTCATGATGTGCGTTTTAAATTCCAGACCTGCAATATACCATTAGCCTAGAGTGAATTTCGGTTTTTAGAACCGTCTTTGCCAGGTCTGAGGTTAGAAAAGCCTTTTGGGGATAACCTCATTAAGATAATTAAACATCTGTGTAATTCTTTCTTTCTGCATACGTGGCAAGGATTATTAAGCTGTATTTTCATGTGCCACTTGAGCTGCTTCACGTGGCAAGTTAGGAACAAACACCAAAGCGGCTTGTAAATAAAAGAAGTGGATTATTGAGAAGATTTGGGCTGTGTAAACAGTGTGAATCTCAGTTATCTGACACCAGGATTAAACCTTGTTGGCATCTGTTCATGAAACAGCCAAAAGCAATTGTACACGACTGCTAACCACGAGTGTGCTGCAGAAATGCCTTTAAAGAAATAGGGGGGAAAAATGGCTGCACCCCAATGTCAACTTATATCAAAGATGAGAACGTTTTATAAAAAAGACCAAAAAAAAAACCAAAAAGCCTTTTTGTAGTTAAATAATATGACTGGCATTATTTTTGGAGTTAATTGGTAGCTTTGTATCGGTCAGTTATTTCATTTAGTGAAGGAAAGATGAGCAGGTGCCGTTTTTCAAGTGGCCGGCTGCCTGAGACCCTCTGCAGAGAGGGTTTCTCCTGGCGTTGGCAGCGTTTGCAGGGCCGTGGTTTTATGTTAACGGTGCAACAGCCCGAACTGTGAGATGTCAAGGGATGATAAAGGGAACTTTTGAGTAGAAAACTAGGTAGGTTGTAAGGTATAGCTACCGTTGTCTATTATAGCAAGCGATGTTACTTGTGGGAAATAAACAGACTTCTATACTCAGACACCAATTATCAAAAAATACCCAGGAAGACAGTGGGTTTCTGCAGCTGTTGGGTGCCTCTTTCGTGCCCTCGCCTTTGGTCATGGGCTTCGCTACCAAAGCAGACTCTGCTGTCTCAGTGGTCTCTAATACTTGTGGTGCCAGGGATTGGGCTAGATGGGACTGTCGAATGAGTGATTCACGGGTATAATGACAGCTCTGGATTTTTCAACACGCAGGAGTGGATTAAGCAGTGCTGGGACTAGTGTGGTGCAGTTTCTCCTGAAACAGATATGCTGCAGTCCTTTTTATTGCTTCTACAAGGATAAATTCCAAGCTAGTAAAAGGCAAACTGAATTAATTCAATGATGGCATATGCCTCTGAAAACATTACATTTTTTAGCAAAATGGAACTTTCCTTGTCCATTTTTTAAGCGCTTTCCTACCACAGTAGTGTGTGTGGTGGCCACAGTTACAAAATAGGCTGTTGGCAGTAAGGAGGCTCAACATTCTTGCTTGGAAAAGAGATTGCAATGCTGATTACTTTTTATTTTACAATATCTGTTCACATACGAGCATAGGAAGATAGAAAGGCCCAGCTCTCTTTGTGTGTGTGTTTTCCTCCGCTCTTTTGCTCCTTAACCAGGGTGCTACCTTTCTTAGGCTCTTCTGCCATGGCACCCAAGAGACACCTGCCAGCACTGCAGCTGCACCACTCTGGTCTTCCAGCCTCAGCTGTCAGTCTAGTACAACATTCGTTGGCGTTGGTTTGTTTGAGCTCTCTTAACACATTTCTCTAGCAGAGAAAAGCACCTGAGACTTCCTAGCCAGTGCAGGAATGGCCTCTGTCTGAGACACTTCACCGCTTGGTCATTCCCAACTGGAATTTTGGAGTCAGCCACCAGCATGTGTGGATTCTGGCACTCAACATACTGAGCACTTTCTTATCATCACATCTGTCGTATACGGAGTTGGCAGGCTTGGAAAAGTGTGTTCTCCACAGCAGACGAAGTCAGGGGAACATCCTGAGCATTGCAGAATATAATAGTGTGCATAGGGAATGAAACCCATGCTGTGCTTACAGTGGAATTTAATTTTCTTTCCATGCAACCAGAAGCATATGTTTTGTGTTCAAATCTGTGGAGGTGAAATTGAATAGAATACTGCCCTTGGAGAAATATGAAGCAGTGCTGTAATAGATGTATGGGGGCACATCTATTCAGGGTGGTGAGGCTCTTTGGCTCCCCAAGTAGGTTTAATTGCATTGTACGGCTTTACTTTGTCCCTTTTACCACTCTGATTAGTAACACTTACCTCACCAGCTTAATTTTTCATCCTATTAAATTATTTGAAATGCATTGATAAAAACTGATGTCTTAGGGCTCATGATTTCTGCAAATTTTGCAAATACAGACAATAAGTCTTTGTTCTAATTTTGGGACCATTCTTTTCCTTACTCTTTGCTAGTCAAGGAAATCAAAGCCCTGTCTTAAAATGGTAAGTTGGATGCTATTAGTATGCTGCAGAGGCTCCCTATATGCTCTAAGTAAAGCAGCATGTGCCTTTTCTGCAAAGTTTGCCATGTTGGTAACCTCAGTAGCTTTTTTTACTAAAGTTGGAGATAAGTGACTACCTATCTCTCTTTTGATCAGTTCTATACTCCGTGCACGCTCATTCCCCCCAAACATCCCTCTGATTAGTACCTCATTTAGGCTGCCTGCTAAAGGGCACTACCTCCATCAGCCTAATTCTTAAAACTAGAAAGATTTCTTGCTGGGCTTGCAGCAGCCTTCAGCCTTGCTCTGTTTTCAGCAGTCAGGCAAAAGCATTTACAATTAACCTTTACTACCATGTTAGTTGAATTTTACTCCTGCCTATGCAGGAGTATAATCTAAATGCTATTAAAATAGAGTATGACTTCATATTATGTGACATCTGGTGACTTCCAATTATCTGTGTTTTGCCTGCCTATGGTGAAAAGGCAATTATGTTCTTCTGGTTGGATTTGCAGCAGTTTCAGAAGATGTGATAATACAATACAGAACAAGGACAAGGAAGCACGTTGGTAAGGCAAGACTCACATGGGCTAATAAGTGGAAATCAAGTGTGTACGTTTCAGTCTGTTCAGATTTGAAGCTGTTTACACTAATGCTTTCCCATTACATCCTGTGACAGGTATTGATCAACTGCTGCCTGTTTGTTAGGTAACATGAATAAAATGCAGAATTTGCTTCTGTGTTTCTTTTCTACATTTCTTTCCAAAAACTTTCATTCTTCAAGTCTACCTGACTTTGCACAAATGAGATGTCTTTTGAAATAAAATATATATACAATGTACACCAGTACTGAAGAACCTCTAGACATTATGCATGTCACAGTAATTTTAACATGGTGTTAGAGTCATGCAGTTAGTGAAATGGAGTTAGTCCTCAGGATAGTAACCATACTTTAATTTTGCTTAAAACCTGCACAGTAATGATTTCTTCTGTCAGTTAGAGCAGATACTATCCATTCGTCCATCCATCTTGACAATCCATATGCCAAAAAGTGCTGTCATAGGCAGTAACTCACCAGATTGTAACAATTTAGCAGGAGATGTGACATGACACCCAACATGTTGAGTTTTTTTTTTTATGAGTTACCAAGAAATGTATTTTTGAAGCAAAGTATGACATTGAGCTTTGCAAACAGAGTTGTCCTGGAGTGTTGAGAAACAGGGTGCATTTACCTGCAAGCACTGATGACCAAGAAAAGCATTTACTTTGTTGTTGTAGTGGAGTGATTCAGCTCCACATCTGATAATAGGTGCTTGGACAAAGCAGTCCTGAGATTGTGTGTGAGACTGTAATCCAAATTATACGTGGTAATATACAGCACACTTTCATGCTGTAATATCTCAGACTGCAGAAAAATGGGAGTCTCACCCTGCAATTAGAAGGTCTTTGCTCCAAGTGTTTACTCATATCATGTAAAATGGACAAATTGTTTTGTTTTGTTGACACATCTTCAATAGAGAAATGCCATTTTCTCCACGTAGTGATTATTTTTATTATGTGTTTAATACCCAGCTGACAAGAACAGCTCCAGCATGGCCACAAGACCTTCTCCTGGAAAAATGGAATGGATCATCCCGCTCATTGTGGTCTCAGCACTGACCTTCGTGTGCCTCATTCTTCTCATTGCTGTGCTTGTTTACTGGAGGTGAGCCTGTTTTCTGTAGATGGGGACTGATCATGATTTAAAACACATTTGAGATTTTTTTTATATGATCCTGTATTTTTTATTTTATTTAATGTTATGGGGATAGATGCATTAGATATTTCTCTGAATGCTGACACAATGGTATTGGTTAACTATTCATCTGTCTCAGATACTTAATTTTTTTCATGTAAGTGATATTAGTAGTAGCACTGTTGGCCAACTGTAGCCAACTGTAATGGATACAGATGTGTCCACAATTAGCTGTTTTACTTAGCTGCAAAAGTATGTTTTTCTTGACCTTCAAGAAAGGTGATTGTGGGAGAAGATCCAAATGAAATTGGACTTTGTTCCGTGTGTGACTTTGCCATAGCTGCCTGTGTCATCTTAACCAGTTAATTTTCTTTCTTTGACTGGACTTTTATGAAGGGGGGGATAAGTTTGCCTCACATTATATGGCAATACTCTAAACAGGAATTCTTTAACACTAGTGAAGTGTCCAGCCACTTCATACCAAACCTGGTCTTGTTTCAGTGTGGAGATTAGAGTTGTCGTCAACAAATTCATCTCACTGATTTAAGGTAAATTATCACGAAACACTTTCATGTGACATAACCAGAACCCAGAACCAGCTCATTTGTTTGATAGTGAAAATGTATCAAAAATTAGCCTTACAAACACTTAGGAATTGTTTCAAAGACTGATTAGACGGTACACAGAAAGGTAACTTTGATTAGAAATAGCAGTCCATTGATCATCATCTTCATAAAAGCAATTAAAAAACTACCAATCTATTTTTAAAAACATGCTTTATGCTGACAATTAGTTGGCCAAATTGTTGAGCCTGGGAATGTTCAAAAGAATATTAATAAATAGGTGACAATACTTTTGTGAAAATCATTTCTATTAGCATTTGCAAGTAATTAACATCATTATGGTAATACAATGAATAGAATTGCAGTGATACTTACATAAAAGATGAAATTAAAAAGATTCTGAAGATCCCATTGTAGTACCCTCTCCATCAATATAACCTTCTTCCAAAAATTCTTCAATTATTTTTTTCATTTGAAGAATAAAACTTGCTCACATTCACACCAGGGAAGCTGCTGAAGTGTGTGGAATATCCTGGAGCATCGTAGTGCAGGATTGCTACCGTTTGTCTTGCATTGATACAAAAGGCTCTTCTAAGGAGGAAAGGCTTTGAGATAAACAAAATGCTAATGGCAATTATCAAGAAGGATGTTGATACAACTCATTATTCGGAAGCATTTACATCTTCTGCAATTCCACTAATGGTTCAAGAAATAATTGCAAAAGTGGTGTTTGATTCACTTGAGTAACAATACTGTGGTTTAAAGGAGAGAATGTTCAAGTTGGAAAGTTCTTGCTCGGTGACCAATACGTAGAGATTATAATTATTGGTAAGTGATGATTTTTATTATAGATCATAATACTACCAGAGTAAAAAGTAAAGATTTGTTCATTAAAGATAAATACTTATCTTTTAAATGCCTAAGTAGTAGTTCCCATAAAACTTTTATTTGTTTAGTAATAGCAAGTGCATAAGTGAAGGTGGATGCATGAACCTTAACTGAAACCAAATTACTTTTCCAGTAATCTTGGGTATATTGCAAAAAGACAGCAGTTGGGTATTATCTGCTTTCCATAATTTCCATGGGTAGTTAACATTCCTCAACAGCTTTGGTAAAGTTATGGACGTTGGCATGAATACCCGTAACAGCCGTGCGTCAGCTTTCTATGTGCAATTGATACTAAAAAATAGGGAGATTAAAAATGACTAGAGACAGGAAAGTGTGTCATGTAACAGTCAAAAGGGATTTTGATAAATGCAAAGCTACAAATTATGGAACAACAAACCTGAGGGCACATGTGTACTGGCTTTGAAGTAATCTACCCTTTCGAGCTTGGTAGTTCTGAAGAGAAAGACTATAAGAAAATAGTCAAACTGTGTTTTTGGATAAATCAACAAGGAACTGGAACACAAATCATCTGCAGTAACATTTCATGTTGTACAAATTATATCACTGAAATGATAACATAGTATTTTGTGCGCCCTTTTCGGTTAGGTTACCTTTCCCTAGGAAGAAATAGGAAAAATAAAATATTTACCTCTGTGTTTTAAAGAGGGATAAAATAATCTCAAAAACCCCAGAGTCTAATTTACTAGTTTGAAAGGAATGGTAATCTGGATTTTTGGAAAGAAATACTTAGCTTAAAATGTAATGGGCAACATATGGAATAATTTGCTAAATAACACCATCAAAGTAAATAGCATGAAAATGAGTTTGAGACAGATTTTTCAGTGAGGGAAACAGGGTATTGAAGTGCACAGCGGAGAAACACTTGTTATGAAAAGATAAACCCCAAGGGGACAGGCGTGCTGGACCAAGTGGTCTTTTCTTGCGCAGCGGTACTTTGTTCTGGTGTGAGAAAAAGCATTAAAAAACATAATGCAGAGGACTAGGAAACGCAGGGGAGATGTGGGTTACCCTTTGGCAATACGTTTTGAGGGTGAAACAAATGATATGTTCACTTTTGTGCTTCTGAGCGGCTGCGGGATGAGATGATTTGAGAGCAGAGGTGACATAAATAGAACAACGAAGCAGAGCGAAGCCGTCTGCTTGTTTGCTGTGCGTCGGTGCCCCGCTACCCGGGGACCCAAATCACGGGCTGCGGGGGCTGCTCCTGCAGGTTGGGCAAAATGTTTGTCTCTGTTCTCATCCTCAGGGACTGTTGCTCCGTGTCACCATAATGAAATAAGGTCTGTGATGCCGCCTTGTTGTAAGGAAGCTTCGTTTTTAGTTGAAAGGGAGAGTGACAGGAAGCAATGGCTGCTTGATGAAGCTTCTCCTGTCCTTTGCTGCTGAGCTTCCATGCTCTTTTCCTTAGAGACTCCTTGGAGATGCATGAGGGTGATTTGTCCCACTCCTGCATGAGGTGCCCTGATTTGCAGAAGTAATTTCCTATTCACAGTTCCTTTTCTGTTTGGGTCCTGGACAAATGGCAAAGGAATGAGACCTAAGTCCTTCTTTTTACTGGTCTGCTCATCTCCCTAATGAAAAGGGATGGGAACTTGCAGGCAAGCGGCAGCTTCCTGAATTCAGCAAGACTTTAATGACACTGCTGTGCAGAGAGGGCTATGGGATTTTAGGCTGGTAAAGTGGGAAACAAACTAGGTCAGCATAATGAGACCCCAAAAATTGCACTGCTGGTCATACCAGGATGCCGAGGAGAGAGCACCATCAAACACCTGCGGGATGAGCAGGAGCCGTGTGGAGCAGCGGTGCTGGCCATGAGCCCGGCCCTCCAGCAAGCAGGATGGTGATGCCTGTAGTTTAACAACCTGCTGCTGACTCTCTGATACCACTCAAGGCTGCCTGGTCCTGGAGCGGTCGTGGACACAGCGAAGGGCTGGTGCTCCTAGATTTCTATTTTAGCCTCAAGTCCAAGCAGAGAATTAGAGCCCTACAGTGTGAGGAACCAGGTATTTATTGATTACTCAACACGTAGCTCCCCCATGGGTTTCTGCAGTGGCATAATGTTATTTATTTTTCTACTTTCATTCCTTTCGTAGTAGTTGCTGAATTTGTTTGGGTTTGGGGCAACCACAGAGTATTTTAGAGAACTCTTCACTGTGGTTTTAGGATCTTCTCAGGAGCACTGTAGGTCATCTAAAGAGTCCCTTACAGTGTGTAATATTGTAAGCTGCAATTTCCCGAGTACATTATTTTTGCATTTCTAGGCACTTGTTTTGCAACTATGATTTTATCACCCAGACTCTCAGTATCGTGAGATCCTTCTGCAGTTCTTCAAGGTCGGTTGAAGATTTGACTTGTATTGTCTGCAGGCTTTGCCACTATTCCACTCGCAGCCTTTTCTGCAAGCTCTGAGGGTTGCAGAACATATTTGATAGTGACCTCCAAACTATTTAGAGATTGAGGACAACTTCAGTTTTTCTGCAGCAGGGCAGGTTCCTATAGCATGCTGTGCCATGCAGTGCCTTGAAACCTGTCTTTTCTAGCACTTCCACTGGACTCTGCTGCAGATTAAACAAGTCCTGAGCATTGGGACTGTAAAGAAAAAGCAGGGTCAGCACTGCTTTCTTTTTCACAGAGGTGCAGGAGGGTGAGTAGAGTTGAGAAAGCACTAAAATACTTAGACGCATTTATGTTGTGCCATTTTAGAAGAAAAAGTACCTCAAGAGTGACTGGTCCACCCTGTTTTCCATTCTGTTTTTTAATCTAAACACTACAATGCTATAGACTCTAGTTTCAAAGGGGAAAATAAGCAGAGAATATTAAGAAGCAATTAAGATTTTAGAGTTTAGCCAACAGCAACTTTTAAATGGGAAGTAAATTATAGCCATTCCTCATTTTCAGCTAAGAGGAAGAAATTAATTCACGGCTATAGCTGGAGAGTTTTCTCTTCTTTTCAGCGGATACCATAATTTACCTCTGAATTATTGCCGCCATCAACATTGTGATCCCAAAGACAAAGCAGGAATATTGTATTGCATTTCTTATTAAATCAAGCTGTTTATACAGTGTTAATATGTTTACATTCAGGAGGGATTTTTGGAACAACACAGCTGCTGCCTTTCAAAGCGCAAGCAAGCTTGCACTGCTTGTTTATAGTCATGTGTGTATTTGAGGCAGCTTGGGGAAAAGATGCCTTTAAACTTCCCTAGACAAAGCCCTGCAGAATTTAATAGAGGAGAAGAGTTTTCTTAGGTTTTTGTCAAGCATCCTGTTAAACTGAACAGATTCCTTGGGACGAGTTCTGTTACAGAGCCTTGTGCTTCTTAGGCAGTGCCTTTCTGTGCAAAAGAAATGGCATTGAGTACATGGAGATGCAGGTCCTTTTCAGACCCAGTCATTGATTTTCTGCATGACCCTGGGCCAAGTCTCTTGCAGTTCAACGTTTTTATTGTCAAACCTGCTGGTGGGAACCTCCTCAGGAGCCAGCTCAGGTGTTCAGTG